GCCTGCTTCTCCCTCTCCCACTCCCCCTGCTTGTGTTCCTGCTCTCTCTCTCTCTGTCAAATAAATAAATAAAAATCTTTAAAAAAAAAAAAAAAAAGCACAGGCCCACACTTTGACAAACACTGACGGCCTTCCCCATGAAGTCATGTTCAGTCGCTCTGTGGATAATGAACACTTTTCTTTGGCAAGACGTTGGAACAGAAGAAACAGCACTTTTATCCTCAAGCTTGGTAAACGTTCAGGATAATTAATAGGGACTGGTTACGTGCTGGAAAATGAAGTATTCATGTACACACACACCACAGATTGGGTAAAAAAATAAATTATGTTCAGATGATTTAGTATTTCTCTGAGATGGAATAAATTCGATGGCTCCGTGAAAGGCAACAGGCAAACTATCTATCACCTGAAGTTAGCAGCTAAGATAATATTTCAACCACCCATCTTGAAAGGGATGCTTGGACCAAGAACATAATAGGACAACTACATTTAGGAATATAAACCAGGAAGGGTTAAACACAATCGCATCTGAAAGATAGCTATTACTACTCCACGTATAAGCCCAGGAAGAGGTGGTGGGGTACAAGGTGGCCTAATATTTTCATAAATAACTCGAAACATGGAGTGGGGATTATGCAAATCAAACCATAGACAACACAACAATGGCAGGGATTGCAAATCTGTAGAGGATGAAATTCAACTACGGGGCAATGTCTTTAAATTTGCCTTTATTGAATCTTGTATATTGAAGTCACATATTATTGTATCTCTTTATTGAGACTCAATAGGGCTAAATGTGGAGTGATTTATGGAAGAAGGAATAATCAAATGCATTAAGTAGAAAGGAGCACGCACCTGGCGAGGCATGGGGTCAGGACAGGCCCTGCATGGGAAGTCGTGGGCATGGTGCACAGGGCAAGGGGTGGGCCAAGTACTTCTGTTCTCTACAGACACGGGCTGTTATTAAGAGCCGATGTCTAAAATAAACAAGGAAATGTGTCTGTTACTCTTGGAGCTACTTGGCCTTGGTGTTACTTCCAGTGGGAGTGCTGAGCTTAAATGTAAACCTGGAAGGGAATTTAGAGCAGGCCATCACAGAGGATATGGGATGTGGCCCTAGATAAACCAAGAATACAAGGGGACGTGAAAAGCATCTCCAAAATAGACAAAATGCTCAGTGTGCCCATTTGTTGGGAAAAGATGCGCAAAAGATAAGGAGGCCTATAGGAGAAAAAAAAAACGTAGCTCCTATTAAGGAAAAACAATCCTTCAGAGCACAGTTGGAATCATGGAAGAAAGGGTAGCTTATGGTAACACCATCCCTGGGGACACTCAAGGAGGTGACCAGACACCTCTCTACTTAGGATGCATTAGAGATTATTAAAAGCATTCCTTGCTCAGTTCGGGGGTGGAGGGTGGGCCTCATGACCTCTCCAAAGGTCATCCCTATCCCAAAGGATCACATGTCTGAAGGGCACCAGATAAAAATAAAGTCTATTAATCACCAAGCTGCCACACAATTTCCTACAAGAGCCAGAAGAGACAAGGGCAATCTACGGTGGACCCTGGTCCCCTGAGGGAGGAGAACAGAGGCAGCGGCTGTGTGGGCAGAGCCAAGGAATCAGCTGCTGAGACTTCCAGAAAGCCAACATCAGGCCTTCGTGTAAGCCTCCCGAGCATCACAGGGTAAACAGAAGGAGGAAGAGACCGTGGGGACAGAGACAGGAAAAGAGCCAATGGTCCTAAGAGCCCCTAATCACAGCCACAGGAACTGCGGGGGAGGGCGTGATACAAGCACTTGGTGCAGCAAGAGGGGAGCCAGGCAAGAGAGGGACACCCACAGAGGGTGCTCCGTGGAGGTGACAGGTGAGGAGGCAGACAGCAGACAAAGGAGTGAAGAGAGGAACTGAGAGGTGGGTGAAGAAGGGCACGTGGGGTTATGTCTGGGAATATATGGGATTATTGGCTGCAAATCCCATGAAAATTGAAGAGATGGAGCAAAAAGTAATCCCACTAGCTATGGGAGCAGAAAATCACATCACAAAAATAAAGCTTTTTAAAAGAGGAATCGAATGGCAATGCCCCGGCCCCAAAGCAGCTGTTGGCTTTCTTGAGGGCTGGGCTTCTCCAGCCATACACAGCTGGAAAGCCTGCTCCGAGGAGGTCAGAAGGACCCTTCCCAGCCCAGAACCAGTCCCCAGAGGGCTCACACAGCTAGGGCTTCTGTGCAACCGAACAAAACAGAGGCCCTTCCGGGAGGGCAAGACCCAGGCCAAAGCAGGCACCTCCTGACATCACCAAGAGACACCAGACCCCATGCCCTGCTCCCTCCTCATCCTGGAACAGAACCGCTGTAGGATGGAGATGTTACCTGCAAGAGTTGTCTCAGGAATGCCATCTGCACGGTGTATTAAGCAGCCAAATGGGGGTCATGGAGTTTGAGTTCTTCTAGCAAAATGTTCTCCAACCAGCTGTCACCCCACCGGGCACAGAATAACTTTTTGAAATCAAAAGAGGCCAGTGAAGAGGGAGGAAAAGGGCACCACCCCCGATGTGCTCCCTGAGCCCCATCTCCCCCACTCGCCCTCTGCTTCCACAGAGACCGCACACATTGCCAGATGCCGGCAGAAGGAACCTCAGTGCCAGGGCCCTGCCTGAGCCCCCTCGCTGCCCTTCTCACGTGGCCCAGCTCTGCATCCTCGGAGGGGAGAAGACACGAGGGGAAGATGGTCAGGGAGTGTGGTTTCTAGGGCGGTCCCTGCTGTGGAATGAGCAGATGGCGCCCCATACAGTGAGAGATAATTAGGGCAAGGATTTTCAACCCACCACCCAATGCTCTGGTAGGTGAGAAAGACAACAGCGTCTGAGCTGATAGCAATCCCTCCGAAAGCTGAAGGTTCTGGAGCTACACCCACTGGCCCTGCTCCCTGCCCCACTCTCCAGCTCCTCCCTCCCCAGCTCTGTCCGCACCACCTAGACCCAGGAGCCAGGCAGTCCTTGTCCAAGAGATGCCTCTGAAGCAAGCAAGAAAGGCTGGAGATGGATCGAGGGCCATTTATTAAGCTAAGTCAGAGAAAGATTCCTAACTTGCCCTACCTAGGACAGGAGAGAGAGAGGGAAATGAAAGGGAAGCATGAAAAGCCAGAGGAGCCAAGTACCTTTGTCGGAGGATTTTGAGTTATGCTTTTGTTTGTAACTCTCTGAAACAGAGAAAGAAATAGAGGATGAATCTTCAGGAGACAGAGAGAGAGAGAGAGAGAGAGAGAGAGCCAGGAGAAAGCCACCGAGGAGGAGCTGCCGGAGACAGGAGGCTGGCACCAAAGGCAGAAGGCCTCCCTGGCTGCCCCCCCCCGGCCATGCACAAACACCTGGGTGGGCGAGGGGCGGCGGTGGCAGCAACAGGAGATGGTGCCTTCGCTGAGGCGGCAGGCATGCGAGTTGGGGCGCAGGCCCAAGAGGAGGAGCCAGTGAGCCTGGGGCTGGGGGCGCGACAGCCAGGGAAGCACAGGGAAGGGAGTGCTGGGGGCAGAGGCAGGGGCAGGAAGGCGGCACCTGCCGTACTTACTGTCACAGACGTAAGGTTTGTCATGGTCTTCCTGAGAGGCAGCGTCGTGCCTCCTCCTGCCACCTGCCGAGCCACGGGCCTGGGGAGACAAGGAAGCAGGATGCTTGTTATGGTGAGGGCCGCTGCGGCTCCTGATCGTACTCTGTGAGGCCCCGAGCACTTCACCTACATCTCTTCATCCGGCCTTCCTCACAGCCTTTGAACCAATAACCAACCCCATTTTAAAGGCCTGGAAACTGAGGCCCAGAGAGGTCAGGTAACTTGCTCCAGAGCACTCAGCTACTCACCCACATCATCTCATTAAATGTTCACAACTCCAAGAGAGGTATTACTGTTATTTCCATTTTACAGATCAGGAGACTGAGGCAACAGCAGTCTTGCCCAGGGTCACTCCACTACTAAGTGCAGAGCCAGGATGTAAACTCACAACAGTCTGACTGCAAAGCCTACATCTACCCAATCCCTGTACTCTATGGTTATCACACGGACCTCCTCCTGCAGCTGCTTAGCCACCTAGCTTCACTGACCCCACATGGAGAAGCTCACCCTGCTCCCCTCAGCTGACCGGATGATGGCAGACTGGAGCAACCATCACCCCGGGCTCTCGCCCCAGGCTCACACTGTCCCCTTCAAGTCTCTCAAGGGCCAGCCAGGCCTGGCATCCGGTCTAGGGCACGAGCCCGGGCACGGCCGGGAGCAACCCCCACCCCTCTCCCCTGCTCCTCCTGGGGTGAGCTTCAGCTGAGGCCTCCCGCCAGTGACAAAGGCCTTGACACCTCACAGTCTCGGGGGGCCTGACTCTTGATCCCACCACTCTGCGTGCATCTCCAGAAAGAGCCAGCATAACCTGGGGTGGGGGTGGGAGGAGTTCCACCTCCCAGGATAGAGGAGGACAGTCAGAGAGGGTGCTGGCAGCTCTGCAGGCCCAGGACAGTGGCTACAAGAAGGGGGCAAGGTTTATTTTTAAACCTTTGTAAGTCCCACATGGTCACGTGTGTAGCACCTGGCCTCCTCCAGGTCATTCTCTGGTAATGAGTAGCAGTAAAATCCCAACCAGGGAAAGGGCCTGCTGAGGTCTCTGGGGACAGAGAAGGAGTCACAGAGGTGAGAACTAAAGCATGGCGGCCGCCTGGGGTGCGGCCGCCATGTTTTAGTTCTTTCACCTGCTTTTTAGTTCTTTTTTTTTTTTTTTTAAAGATTTATTTATTTATTTGAGAGAGCGAGAATGAGAGAGAGAGAGAGCCAGAGGGAGAAGCAGGCTCCTCGCTGAGCAGGGAGCCCGATGCGGGACTCGATCCCAGGACTCCAGGACCATGACCTGAGCCGAAGGCAGTCGCTTAACCAACTGAGCCACCCAGGCGCCCCCTGCTTTTTAGTTCTTTCACTTGCTTTCACCTGCTACAGGTGAAAGCAAGGGCCACTTGTCCAGGGGCTGGGCCTGGACAAGTGGCCCTGGAGACTTCAGGGCCAAAAGGCCTGTGATGCTGACACACACACACGCACGCGCGCGCGCGCGTGCGCGCACGCACACGCACGCACACGCACGCACACGCACTCACTGGGGATTTCACAGCGGAAAGGCCTGTACACCAGGCCCGCGATGTTCACACGCTCTCACCAAACACGCACTCTTCACAATCAACACCACCTGCCAAGCTACCACCTCCACCACCTCCTCAGCTTGTCTCTCCAAAACAATTTACATAATTCCACCTCCCTCCCACCGCTTCGCCTCTCTGCCTCCCCACCCCCCAGCCGAGCCCGCCACAGCCAGCAGCCCCGCCCCCGGCCCCGCCCCCGCCCTCGTTGCTCCGAGTTGACCCGAAGGGGGAGCCGTGAGACGCTGCGGTCCCCCCCCGCGGGCACTAACAGGCCTCCCCGCCTGCCCACGACGACTACGAGGACAGACGGGGAGGGTGGTCACCCTCAGCTGCCCTCCCCCCCCTCACGCCCCCGTGGTGAAGCCAGGGACAGCTTGACGTGTGCAGCCCGCAGCCGTGTCACAGCCGCCTGCAGCAGGTGAAAGCAAGTCAAGCAGAATGACGAGCCAACAGCAGACGCGGGGAAGGGGCACTGAGAGACTAAAAATACCGCCTGGGATAAGAGGAGAAGCCCTGGAAGCACGCAGTCCTGGGGGAGCCGCCAGCGGGAGGGGGAGGGCCCAGCTGAGAGCCAGGGTTGGATTGCACTCTGCAGGGCTGACCAGCCCAGTCACTTCCACACTGTCCCTGCACCTTGGTTTCCTCAACTGCAAAATGGGCACACGCAAGGGACTCTTCCTGCAGCAGTGGCACTCTAGTCTCCGGGAATCGCTCAAACTTGGAAACTCAGAATCCCACTAGTTTGCTCAGACATCACCTCCTCAGAGAAGCCCTCCCTGACCAACCTAGATCCACTCATACCCTCTCCATCGTTCTCTTTCCCTTGCCCGGCTTTGTGTTTGGTCCCAGCACTTAGCATGGTCTGACATTATATCATACATGTTATTGGTGTACTTGTTGATCTTCTGTCTCCCCAACAAGGGGTGGAAAACGTCTACTTGAGCCACACTATATTCAGAACCTGGTACGGGGCCTGCCCCTTAAGACACACTTAGTAAACCTTGGCTGAATCAATTGGTCCATCGGTCGGTCAGCGAGTCCGTCATCTTTGGTTCTTCTCCTTCATTCTTTACAGCCAAGCGCTGTTGATTCTTCCTTCAAAGCCCATCTGAGGCTTTGCATTTTCCTTCTGTTCCACATTTTAATCCATTGACCCTGAGTTGCTTGAAGAACCCACCAGCTGGGGTTCTACCTCTGCACTGCCCTTCCCAATCCACCCTGCATGACTCCCAGATCAGTTAGACCAAGGGAGTGAAGGACAGAGCCCATGGTCGTTCACTCATTCATTTACTGCCATCTAAAACCCACTGACACATCCAACAGCAACCTAGTGCCTGTCCCATCAGGTTCCCCTCATGCTCATGCTATGATCCCTGTCATGGACCAGCCTCTCCTCTGCCACCCACGCTGGTGCATGCTTTAACCCCCCCACTAAAATCCCACTCCTCCAAGAGCTTTCCCCTTGCCATATTGAGGAGTAAAAAGAGCACAGCTTTAAATTCAGACAGGCATAGGTTTAAACACCAGCCACGTGTCTGTAGACAAGTTACTTCTCTTAAGTTTTCATTTTCTCAACTGTAAAATGGGCACAGCAACACCTTTAGTGCAGAGTTGCTGAGAGGGTTCGCGCTCAGAGTGTGTGAAACCACAGGGGACAGCGCCACATCCACAGGAAGTGCTCGATAAATTACTTCCCCTTCTTGCCCAAGCTGATCTCTTCTCTCTCCTCTGAACTTTTATTGCATTCAGTTAGCGCACAGGCAGAAGCCTGCTGTTTTCTAATTGTATCATGGCCATTCGCATTTTCTCCTCAATTTAATCCCAAGGTCCTTAAGAGCAAAGATGGCATTTCATACTTTATTATGAACGCCCAACACTTAGATCTATGTTGGGCACATAGCATCCCAAGCTCTCACATGTATTAGTTCAGCTCATCCCTACCATACACCGCGAGTTACAGAAAGTAATAGTATTCCCATTTGGCCCTTGATGAGACAGGCTCTAAGGAGGTTTCTGACTTATCCACAGTCACAGAGTCAGTAGAAGGAGCAGGACCTAAGTTTCCAGACTCTATTCTGTAAAACTTTGAAGCTGACTGTCCAAAAGAAACCAGTCCTCCCTCTCTGAGAATTGTCCACCCCACTCCACTCCTCCCACCCCACCCCACCTCACCTATTCAGACACTGGTAAGTCAAGACACCCTTGATTATATACCACGTAGCCTGGCCCCACTGGCCACAGTTGATTGGCTGGCTCAAAAGTGGTCACATGACCTAGGCTGGGCCAATCAGATTCTGCCTCCAAAGCACTTGGACTTGGGGCAATGACTCTAGTGAGTACGGGCATATGAGCTGGGAACCCATCAATACAGGAACTATGGAGCCAAGGGCATAGAGAAGCAGGCAATACAGTCTTCTGATAGAAAAATAAAGAAGGAAGAAGTAGAGGCCACGAGCCACCAAGGTTCCTTATTCTATCCCAATCCTAAGTCCCTGCCTGCCGTTTTCTTGCCCTTCCTGAGGGTTGAAACTTCAAAGATTGTACCGAATTGGGGCAATGACCCAGCAGCTTTTCAGATACTCCCCATTTTTGCTGAAGTGTTGAGTTTTTTGCAATTAAAAGACTCTTGACTCAGACAGGCTCAGAGAGCTAGTTCCTGTATAAGAGTTGTTCTCAAGTAATGGCCCAGGGATCCCCAGGGATCCTTGTGACCCTTTCAGGGGGTCTGCATCACAGTACTAAATAGTAATAGAATGTTACTCGAAACTTTACACTTTCATTCTCTCACAAGTACACGGTGGAGTTTTCCAGAGGCTACCTGACATGATGATGTCATCACTCTGTGTGCTGGTGTATTCTGAAGATTAACATTTTTTTCTGCTTTAATTTCTAATATGGTAAGTGTCACTAGTTATAACCCACCAGAACAATAGCTTTTTTGGGGGGCCTCTCTCAGTAATTTTTAAGTAAAGAATTCCTGAGACCAAAAAGAAAACCCCTGAGAGCCATAGCTCCCTATCCTTGCTATTTAGAATGTGGCCCTCAGACCAGCAGTGCTGGAATCACCTGGGAGCTTGTTAACCAGACAAACTCTCAGTCCTCCCCCCAACCCCCAGACCCACTGCATTAGAATTTGCACTTTAACAAAATCACCATGTGCTTCACATGCACATTACACTTTGAGAAGCACTGGACTGCACCAGAGTGCATCAATAAATAATTCCTGATTGATTGACTGATTGATAATGCTCACATGGATGACTTCCAGGAATTTCATGAATTTTAAAGAGCTTGGATTCCTTGGGCTAAAGTTAGCATAGACACAATTATTAATTGTTGGGTCTGAATTGCCCTCACCCCTCAGGGTATGGCCACTGTCAAAACTCCAAGAGCTGTTCCCTTTGCAACCCCTGAACGATGTTTAGCCTTTACTAAACACTCAGAATTGGCTGGGTATTATTACTCCCATTTTCATGATGAAAAACTGAGGCCCAGAATATTGCTATAATTTGATCAAGATGATGCAGTTACATAATTCCCCCAAAGTCTAGTAAATAGTGGAACTGGGATTTGAACTCATGGTTCAAACAGGGCAGAGGCTGTTCTTAGAATTACTGCCTTACCCCTGGCTTCTTCAATGAGTGCACAAAGCACCTGGGGGTCTTGTCAAAGTGCAGACTCTAATTTGGTAATTTGGTCCATCTAGGGTGGAGTCCAGGGCCCTGTGTGTCTGACAAGCTCCCGGGTGATCCTGAGGCTGCGGTCCAGGGACCACACATTGAGGTGCTTCCTGTCAGTCCTGACAACAGAAATGCTCTCCAGGAACCAGAAGCAGCCTGAACACACCACTTAAAAGGGTAGCTTAATTGAGGCTGTGGGTAAAGCAGCTTCATGCCTGTATTCCAGCACAGGCAGGCCCACTCACGCCCTTCTAGATCATCCCATGGCTCCCACCATGGATGACATGTCCACAGTGTCACTACCCAACTTAGAGCCATTCAGCTGGCCCTTGGCCAGCATCAGGTAGGCCCTGAGCTAGTGTAAGCTCCATCCAGCTCCCTCACTGCGTTCAGGCCTTCTCTCAACTCCCACAAAGTTGAAATATAGCTTTTCTTTATTTCCCAACACAGTCATTCATTCAACAAGCTGGTCTTTAGCCCATGATGGGCACTGGGCCAGGCATGACTCCATGACAAAAGCACAGACCTGCATTCGAATCCTGACTTCTTTACTAGGTTAGATGACCTTGAGCAAGTTACGTAATCTCTCTGGGAGTAATAATACCAATGTATGGGAATGAAACAAGAAGTGCTGGCCACAGAAACATAACGCGAGCCACACACATCATTTTAAATTTTCTAGTAACCACATTTTTCAAAAAGATAAAAAGAGAAACAGGTACAATGAATGTTAATAATATAGTTTATTCAACCCAATGTATTCAAACTATTATCATTTCAGTACATAATCAATATAAAAAACATTAATGAGATGCTTTGCATTCTTTTCATACTAAGTCTTTGAAATCTGGTGTGTATTTTACCTTTACAGCACATTATAATTTGACCTGGCAAAATTTTTAGTGCTTGGTTCACCACATGTGGCTAGTGGCTGCCAAAGAACAGGGCAGAAATCGAGAATGCAGGACAAAGTACATAGTCGTCACCCTTGACGTGTAGCTCTTGTTGTAAAGAGCCCCAGCACGTGGCCTGGTGTCCAGTCAGTACACAGTGAGTACCACTGCTGTGTTCTTACAGAGGAGACACCTAGCTCACATCCATGCACTGCCGAGTTCAATCATCTAGATTTAGGTTGGGAGTGGAGAAGATGTAAAGAGGACCATTCTCTGAAATCTACCTGAGTAACTTTGGTTTGCGCTGAGGGACGGGATGGAAGCAGGCCTGGAGGCACACTGCTCTTGAGTTCACAAAAGGCCCAGAAATTCTAAAACCTCCTGCAATGATGGAATTAGATATTCATTATTTTGTGGGCCCCAATGAAGTCATGAGTCTAGGCATTATCGACGGCTGCTGAAACAGCTAGATGAAAACTTGATGGGGAACCTTTTAAGGAGAGATCAGGCTAACAACACCTGAATCCACTGACCCATTGCCCCCACCCCACCCCGAGAGCAGAACAGCTGGACAACATGTACCTCCTGATGTGATGCAGTAAGAGGCACAAAAAAGGTCCTTGCCTCCCCCCAAAAATATTTACACATATGAACAAATAGCCTGAGTCTAATCAAGTCTCTAATCAAACCACCAGTTTCCAGAAAATAAAGAGGATACATTAAATACCACCCATCCACCAAATCTAGAATGTCGGGAATTCTGCAAGACAAACCACCCAAGTTCTTCAACAGATAAATAGCATGGAGAAAAAAACATGTGTGTGCATGGTGGAGTAGAGCAGGGAAGAGGTATGCCCTAGAATAAAAGAGGCTTAAGTTTCAAACAAGCCAACTGTAAAAAGGCATTTTTGAGAAAATCCAGGGAAATCATCAGGGACTGGAGAGTAGATATTAGAAGAGCTGTTGTTTTTATTGGTTGTAATAATGCTATTTGTTAGAGATTGAGGTATGTGCAGGTTAAATGATAAAATGTCTAGGACTTCCCTTCAGATATTCTCCCAAGAACTGAATATACAAACCAACAAAAAGTGGGAGTAAAGAACAAATAAGACAAGCTCGTCGCTGAAGCTGGCTGGCCACTATAAGAGGCATGAAGCGTCAGAGGGCTGCCCTGCCCAGCCTGAGAAATGCCAGCCCCTGCCAACAAGTCAGAGCATCCGAGCTCAATGTGGGCAGCACTGCACCACTTACACCAGTCACCTGGTTATTTGCTTATAATACAGCTTTCTGGACCCTACCCTAGACCTCCTAAATCAGAACTTCTGGGAGTGGGTCCTGGGAATCTGCATTTCGACAAGCTCTCCTGGTGATTCTGATGGATACTTAAGTACAAGCAGCACAGGAATGGAGAGGCGGGTCACAATTAGCCCTGGACCCAAACCTGCAAGGCACCCATGGAGAAGAGGGGTAAAGGTCCTGCCTAGAGCCTGAAGGAGCCAGAAGGCCCAATCCTAATTCTCTAGACGCCAAGCGAGCGTACCCCTGGAGGTCCCTCTCCACCTCATTATTGTCAGATGCCCTTGCAGACCCCTGAGGGTGGCCACCAAAAGCCCCTTGGGCTTGGACATGAGGACTCTGGAGGAGCAACCCGCATGCCTCAGAGCACTGCTCAGGCTTGGGTCCCTCCCCTCAAGGCCCGCTCCCATAAGTTGTATAACTTCCACCATGGATTTCCCCTTGGCCACACCCCAGGCTTCTGGCCTCCTCTTGCCACATCCGGAGCCCACACCAAAAGCCCATGCCCTACCCACTTGGAAACCATTAGCTGTGGCCCCCACACTCTCCCAGAGTGATCCTACTCTCTGCCTAGTGAAGCACACCCCAAAGCAGGTCTTTCTGGGGCAGCCCCAGGGACAGGAAAATGCAGCCTTCTTTCAAGACCAAGTAATGGGTACAACAGTCACATTCTCCTCCTCCCCCACCCTCCCTGGACCCCCACCGCAACCCTCCCAGGACCCTCACTGTCCCCTCAGGGCACCCTTTCCCTCTTCTTCTCCCTCTGGCCAGCTCTAAACTCTTACAGGCTATCGCCTGGGACCAGAGCTCTTCTGGAGTTCTTCCTTTCTGAGTATTCTTCAAGGGAGACCATGGATATGAGAAGTCATGCGGTGGGACTTGGGGTCTGGGGCCCAATTGTTCTCCCAGCCTCAGCCTCCTTTAACTCTTCCCTCCCTCATGGCATCCCCGGCTTACCCGTCCTCTGGTCCTATTCTTGCGCTTGGGGATATCTTCTTCTAAATCTTCTTCTTCATTTCCTTCTTCTACATTTTCATCATTTTCCAAAACCCTCTGAAATGACAAGAAAATAAACAGAGGGGTTGAGAAATAAAATGCAAAGGAAGAAGCCGTCAGAAGGTAATTTGAGGGAGGGGTGGGAGGTCTGTTTTGTTGTTGTGTTTTAACAAAGTGAAGACCATTGCTGGGGAAGCAGAGCCTCCAAAAGGCTGCCCAGAGTCCAAGCTCTTGGCGGTAACAAGCCTCTCAAACCCCTGGGTCCCGTCCAGCCTGATCCTCCCAGAACACTGACTTTTTTCAACTCTTTTTACCCAAAAAAACATTTTCTAAGAAGAGAATACTCTGGTAGGGGTGCTTTTCTACGTGGACCCAAGATGTTTTTCAAAACCTACATTTTTAACGTAATTTTCCTTCTGTTCCTAAATATGAAAATGTGTTCTTCTTTTCTCTGCCATTCTGGAACCCTGCCCTGTTTAATGAAAACAAGTAACTTCCTGTTCATCTGACCAGAATTTGACATTAATGTGTTGGTTCTTAATCATCCATTGTTGTTTTTTTTTTTAAGAAAAATGGATTTTTATTACAGCACATTACTTGTAATGAAGCTTAAAGATCATGAATTTAATTATCTCTCTCCAACAGATCTGTGATTCACACAGCAGCAGAGAATCCAGTTTCCATTTTACAGGTGAATAAACTGAGGCTAAAAACAATTGTAATCGCCCAAGGTCATACAGTGAATCCATGGCCAAAGCCAAGTCAGGTTCATCAGCTCAGAGTTTCCTGGTCATTTCTCACCCATGTGTCTGAAGATAGAAGTAGAAGAAGATAGTAGACCCTTCCTGTAGGGACCTGAACACTTCACTCCCTTTGCAGGGAGGGGAGGGTAGGTAAGGTGTGTACCTCTAGGTTTAAGGGCAAAATAAAAGATTGTGGCAGAGGACCCAGCTCCCCAGACTGAAAGTGGGATAAGCAGAAGGGGGGCATGGAATTCACCAGACTCCATGTCAGGAGCCCTTTATGGACTCACTGTGCAACCTTGGGTGAGTCATCATCTCTTCATGCCTCAGTTTCCCCAATTATAAAATAGGAATTCATTTATTCATTCAATCAACAAACATTTGTTTAGTGCTGACTATATGGCAGGCACTGTGCTAGACAAGCCACAGAATGACTACAGTCCTTGCCCTAAAAGGACTCTACAGTATAATGAAGGGAGGACAGATTCAAGTAACATCCACAACCATATAGTTACAACTGCCATAAACACAGTGACAGGCAAGTGCAAGCTGCTACGAGAGGCTATTAGAGGGAATTTTACCTAATCTGAGGGTCAGGAAAGGCTTACCTGACGAAGTAACCCAAGTGAGTTGAGATGTAAAGGATGAGCAAAGTCTAGCCTTGGGAATGGGGACCAAGGGCAGGGAGGGAGGAAGAGTGTTCTAGGCAGAGGGAACAGCATGAGCAAGAACAGGCAGTGAAAGGACATGGCTTGTCCACGTTGCAGGAAGAGGCCAGGGTGACTAGAGCTCAGTGACTCAGGGAGAGATTGGCATAAGAAGAGGCTAGAAAGGAGGGCAGGCACCACGTTATACTGGATAACAGCGCACATTTGCATCCACCCATGCTTGTGATGGCGTGACAATGACACAAGCTATGAAAAGGCTTAGAAGCAGCACACTCTGTACCGACATGTGGTATCATCATCACTGTTCAAGTGGCCTCCCAGACAATGCCCCTGGCCTGTCCTCCAAGCAGGAAGCCCAGGAGTGAGTTTCCAGGGACCTTCTCCCACTGCCTTCTTGTCAGAGTTCTTTCCCAATCACAGGAGTCAGGACATTGCTGATTACAAATCCTCACACGGAACCCAAAACAGGTCTTACAAATTCTCCTCCGGCTTCTCTACTTGGCTTACTTGGGAAGCCATCAGCTGACAGCACGCGGGGGTTTCTGGGCGGACCACAGCCATCTAACAGAGAAGTGGTGCTGTCTGCTAGACACGCCCTCTGGCCCATAGCCAGGAAACGTTGGCCCACCTCCCCATTGAGCCTCCTAGGCTCTCTGCACCTTGGCTTCCTGAACCATAGGTGGGAACACAAGTGAAAGTCAGGCAAGATGATGACAAGTCAAACACTCTGCAGAGTTCAGTGAAAAGATGCTGTATAAATATGAGGTGGTGTTGTTATGACTGTTGTTGCCGTTCAAACAGCTGTCTTGCCCACTTCTGGGTCTTGAAGTCATTTAATCATGGTGAGTTCCAAGGGCCTCGAATTTAAAGGTCACGGCCTCTGGCCTGTCGTACAACCTGACTCCACTCTCATTTTTTATCATGCAGGTATTTGTGACCTGCAATACAGACCCCGGGTGGGAAGTGAAAACCTGGTGAAGGTGACTGAGCTAGTCTCCAGCAGTGCCCACCGCATGGCCTCAAGGTTCAGAAGTAAAGGGACTTCTCCCTCCCTTTCCCACTGGTCTCCCTGCGTCTTGAGAACCCCTAGTCTGTGCCCCTGGCCTCCAATGTGACAGCAGCCACCCCAGTGTGTTTGCATTTCCTGCGACAACGTGGCCCTGATACCCAGAAGCCTCTCTACATAACCAGGGAGGAGCCAGGAGTCCCTAACAAACAAAGCGTGCCTACAGGGCTCAGGAAGCAGAGGGGGCGCCCTGTGCAGAGGAGTCAAGGGCGGGGGTCCAACTAAGATGCAGCTGATCCCCCACTAACATACTTGCATTCCCTGTCCAAGGACATTATCTGGAAAATAAACACATTTTAAAATAACTTTTCTCCCTGTTACTCTAAACAGTCTTTACAGTGACGATAACAATTGTTTGTGGTTGTGTTTAAAAAAGAAGAAGGAATGCCTTTAAAAGACTCCATTATCTCTAGCCTGGAACGCTGCAAAAACCTCCTAACTGATTTCCCTCCGTCTTCCGTCGGCCCTGCATCCAGTCTCTTTTGCAGGCAGCAGACAGAGGGATCTTGAGGAAACATGAATTCACTGCCCTTGTTAAAATGGCTTCCTTCTTCATTTCCATGAAATCAAGTGCCTCTTCCGTGTGCTGAGAGGCTGGAGTGGTTGGACGTGGCCCAACCCTCCCGCTCCATCCTAGGCCCATCTCTCCCTAGCACTCTGCTCTAGCCACACCAGCCTTCTTTCTTTTTTTTCCTTTTTTTCTTTTTCTTTTTATTTATTGAGGTATAATTGACATGCAATATTACATTAGTTTCAGGTGAATAACACAGTGATTTGACATTTGTAGGCACTGCAAAATGATCACCACAGTGAGTCTGGGTACCATCTGTCACCCTACAAAATTAATATAATGTTATTGACTACATTCCACATGCTGTGCATTACATCCCTGTGACTTATTTTATAACCGGAAGTTTGTACTTCTTAATCCCCTTCACCTACTTCATACCCTCCCAACCCCCCTCCTCTTTGGCAACCACCAATCTGTTCTCTATATCCATAATTCTGGGTTTTGTTTTGTTTTTTAGATTCTATATATAAGGGAAATCATATGGTTTTTGTCTTTCTTTGATTTATTTCAGTTAACATAATGTCCTCAAGGGCCATCCATGCTGTTGCAAATGGAAAGACTTCATTCTTCTGAATGGCTAAGTAGTATTCCATTGCATATATGTACCACATTTTCTTTATCCATCCATCCATCAATGGACATTTAGATTGTTTCCATGTCTTAGGTATTATAAATAATGCTGCAGTGAACATAAGGGTGCATATATCTTTTTGAACTAGTGTTTTCATTTTCTTCAGAGAGATACCTGGAAGTGGATTTGTAGGTCATAGGATGGTTTTATTTTTAATATTTTGAGGAACCTCCATACATTTTCCATAGTTGCTGCACCAATTTACATTCCCACCACCAGTGCACAAGGGTTTCCTTTCCTCCACATGCTCACCAACACTTGTTATTTTTTTTGTCTTTTGATAATAGCCATCCTGACAGGTGTGGGGTGATCTCACTGTGGTCTGATTTGTATCTCCTTGATGATGAGTGATGTTGAGCATCTTTTCATGTGCCTGTTAGCCATCTGCATGTCTTCTTTGGAAAAATGTCTGTTCGGGTCCTCTGCCCATTTTGTAATCGACTTGTTTGGTTTTTTGTTTTTGAGTTGTATGAGTTCTGCATCTTCTGTCTGTTCTTTCAAAACTATACGCTCAGACCTATCTCAAGGCCTTCAGGCACACTGTTCCTCCGCTCAGAAAGTTCCTCCCCACACCCTCACTTCACTTGCTCTTTCTCATTTCTGAGGACTGAGGTTAAATCCCTTTATCTCCCTTAGGACACTACCTAGAATCTGTCCCTCCTCTTTCCTTAATCTTCATACTCTGTTCTTTTCATGGTCATTTATCCTGAAATGCAATTATTTCCTTTGTGTACTTGTTTTCTGTCTGTATGTCATTACTAGAATATAAATATGAACAGGTGGGACTGCTCGCTATTGGTTTCTCTGTCTCCCCAGAACCTAGCATAGTGCCTGCTCAGAGGAGACACTCAGTAAACTTTGGTTCAATGAATGAATGAAAAAATGAACAAATATAATCCATTTACTACATGTGTACTTTATTTTAATAACCAAAGCCGATAAGGACACGTAAACTCATTTGGCTTATGGTCCTGGTTTCAGCTTCTAGCACGGAAGATGGTAGACCCATGCTCTGAACGTAGTAGACGTTCTGTTTATGTCGGGGATGATGGTGATGGTGATGATTTCATAGTGACGGCTTATATACTAGCCCAACACTGCCTGAGAGGAACTTGAACCCACCACCAGCTTAAAAGAGTAAGCTGTCACTAGAGAGTCAGAGCTTCGGGGCAATGGTTCTGTCCCATCCACTGATTCAGTGAAATTACACTAACTACACAATACAGATGGGACACACCTTAACTTCAAAGACCTGAAAAGTCCAAAAACTGGTGGAAAGTTGGGGGGGAACATGAATAAGGAAAAAACCAAAGAAGAAAGGACGAGGCACCCTAAATGCCAGTGACAAGAAGAATCCCTCTGGCTGTGGGACCATCAAGAAAGGCTTTCTGGGGAAGGTGGCACTGGGGCTGAGCCTGACTGATGGGTGGAATTTGTGCACATAGAGTAGAAGAAAAGATTCCCCAGGTAAAGGACACGGCACGACCACAGGCACAGAGGAGAGAAGACTGAAGAATGGGGCGGGGGGGGGTGGCACAGATGTAGGAGAAAATAAGCCCGAAAACTAGGTTAGGAGAAAGAGTGAGGAGGCCCAAGAAGATCACACTCATCATTTTGGATTTACCTGGTAGGATACAAGCGTTTCAGCTAAGTTTTTTAAAGAAGGGATTGGCACAAGCAGAACTTTCTTTCAGGATGAAAGATCAGCTAGCAAAGCGAGACATGTCGAAGAAGGGACGGACTGCCCTACAGGGCGACCCCCAGGAATCTGTTCACTCGTACATCCCTTCAACAGATGCTTACTGTGCACCTACTATGTGCTAGGCACTGTTTGCATGCTTCAGATATATTAGTGAACAAAATAAAGCATCCCACCCTTGAGTTTACATTCCATTGGAAGAAAACAGAAAATACCCAATAACATAATAAATCAGCAGAGTACAAAGTATGGTAGATAGTGATCAAAGCTATGGGAAAAAAGAAAAAGCAAAGGAAAGCAGAGTAAGGGAATCAGGAGATGTGGAGGGTGGGGAGGGCACAGGATTCGGTAGTACACACAGGGTCAGGGTCAAGTGCATAGAGAGGAAGAGACACAAATTGAAGAAGGTGAGGGTGAGGGCCCAGCTGATGTCTGGAGTGAGGACCCTGCAGGCAGAGGAAACAGGCCGAGCAAAACCCCGAGGCAACAGAGTGTGTTCTAGAAGGAGCAAAATGAGGTCAGTGTGCCAGCAGCAGAATGAGCAAGGGAAAAGCCCAGAAACCGAGTCAGAGAGGCAAGAGGGCCTTGACTTTTATTCTGGGGGAACAGGCGCCTATGCCAGATTTGGGGCACAGGATCTGACTTAGGTTTAAAGGGCTCCCTCTCAGCCATCAGCAGGGGCACCATTTAGAAAGCAGTTGCAGTGCATCCGTTCAGACAGATGACAGTGGCCGGGACCAGGGCAGTGGCGGGGGGACATGGTTAAGAGGAGCCTGCGCTCTGGATCTGGATTGCAGGCACAGCTGACGGGATTCCTGATGAACCAGATGCTGGGTGCCATGTTAAGGCGGGAGTGGCCAACGACTCCAAGGTGCATTAGGCACATGGAGGTTACAGCGATTAAGGACCTTCACGAGGGCCGTAGCTCTGAGGCGCACAGGCAACCATATAAGCCATGCTGTGATATGGAGAGACCTGAGCACTCATCTGCACACAGGGATGGCAGAGGAGGAGGCCAATCCACGGCTTCATCCTACATCTTCATTGAGACTCGGCTCTGCTGTGCACGTGCAAGGCCCCAAGGGGACAAAGGTGAGCACGACCGCATGGTCCCTGACTCAACGGAATTCACTGACTGGTGGCACTCATTAAGCAAACCAGAAATGTACCTGTTATTACTTTAATTATCACGTCAATAAATGAATATGCAAATACTAAACATTACGTTAGATATGCAATTAATAAATATATAATACATGATAGGTATCACATAAAATATAAAGTAAAATAAAATATACATTTAATATCAATGTAATTTGATTTTAATAATTGAATTGTATTTAATTTTTAATACTACTGTTTAATATTTATATTAATTACTATTACTACAATACTCCATGCCAACCATTGTATTCGACAACAGAGATTCAAGACGAATATATCAGAACCGGTCAGAGCGCACCATTATGATCTTGAGTAGCCAGAGCCTCGGTAGTGCTGGGAACAGAGGGCGGGAAACCAGCAGGGACAGGAGCCACCAGCCCCACCTGGAGGGTGACTCCTCCACAGGGCCTTGAAGGAGGAGAAGGCGGTGCTGTGAACTAGAGCTGAGGACGGGGTGTGAGGATGGGGTGTGAGAAAGGCAGGGGCTCACTGGGGTCAAGCCGGTGTAGACGACCCTGAGGTTTCAAGCCCGAACTACGGCCCGCCCACTCCGCGGGGGTAAGGACTCCGTTTTGCTCACCATCGTGTCCCCAGGCCCTAGCCCAGACCCTGGGACACAGCAGGCTGGAAAAAATAGTTTTTGAATGGCTACATGGGGACGCCAAGAGAGCAGTGAGGGCTTGTTCTGGAGGACAAGTCACAGTAGGAAGGCAAGTGCGAGTCCCCCATCAGCCCTGCACGTGATGGCCTGGGAGGAGGAGCCGGGTGCGGGCCTCCCGGAAGCACAGCGCGGACGCTCGGGACACATCCCCCACGGCGGGCGCAGAAATACCTGTATTTCCTGCATGCTTTCCTCTTCTCTGGCATCCACCTTCTTCTCCACACCCTCACCCCGGAGCAAGGCTTCCAGGGTGGTGCTTTCTGAGGTGAAGCCATCCTTCTTCAGGGGCAGCTCCACTTCTGCAAAGTAAGGACAGAGAAGCAGGGTCAGGCCATTAGAAGCAGGAGGGACAGGAGGACCAAGAGAGACACTCAGGAACTGGAGCTCTGGGTAGGGCTAGAGGCGGCCTGCGCTCTCTCCTCTGGGTGGAACAGGAACCCCGGAGCTGGGTCCGGCTTTTCCGTCTCCTGTTCCCAGCCCCGGAGACAGATCCCAACCCTGCCCATACCCTCACAGACAGCAGAGGCAGAGCAGGAGGGCACCAGACAGACAGTGACTGTGAGCGAGGCGCTCAGCGATCCCAGAGCCCTCTTCTGCATCTACAGAGTGAGGATAACAATGCTCAGTACCCCACAGGGCCGTTTTGTGGGGTATAAACATGTCCCTTTACATGAAAGTACTTTGAAAACTCTACAGCAATACACCAATGTTCACCTCAAATCTTACTATTCTCTCCCTCTACCCCAAGTCTCATCTGGCAACTCCATGACCTGCCCTCTGCCATGCTGGCTGCCCAGCTCCGGGTTGCTCCATGGGAAGCTATTTCGACCCCAGAGAGGCTGTTCTCATCAAGGGATACAAAGACCACTAAAGCCAAGGGAAGAGAGGAGGGAGCACAGTTGCCTAACAGACCCCAGCTCAGTGGCTGGGAGCTGCAGCGCCTGCACAGCAGGGCACTTTTTCTGGAAATGTCAGAGTTTGCTCGGCTACCTGGGGCTTGAGGTCATGGGGCCAGCTGAGTAGTGGCAGCCAGAGTCAGCCCTGTCTGAAAGAGATCAGAGAAAGAAGCTGAACTCCTTGCTCAACCCAAAGGAAGATTGTTTTGGTTCTTCTTAAATTAAAAACAGAAACCTCAGGTATAGGTGATCCTATTTTGATTTGCTAGGAAACATTCCTCCGATCTCTCCTCTGATCCTGTACCTCATACCCCCCAGCAATCAGATGCATGGCCCCTATCCTGTTACCAGGTAAGATGAATACAAGAATATGAGGGATTGGTGCCCTAGAAAACAGCCAGGGGAGGGGAATGGCCCATGTGTATGAGGGAATTGAGAGTTGAGTGTAGGGACTATTTACAGCGGTGTGGGCAGGAATAAGGGAACTACAGGGAAAGGTGAAGCACCCCTGGGGAGTTAACAGTGGGGAGCCATTACCACTGCTGTTCCTGGAGGGACTGAGGGAGAGCGTTTGCAAGAGCCTGGAGAGATCTGTGGCTTGCAGCCTCAGTGAGCTCATGAAAAAGAGAACCAAGGTAAAGAGACGCCTGGCCTAACCTCTCTTTCCATCCTTGTCTTCCTGCTCTGCCCTCCCATTGGCCAACCTCAACTAGAAGGGCAAGGGGGCCTTATTGATAGAGCACACCAAAGCCAGCTTCCTGGGGCCCAGATCAGGGACCCCAGGATAAAGAGTGGATGGGGTGGGGGGGTGGGGGGGACAGGGGAGAAATGGAAAAACCAGCACAATCAAGCCTTGCTCTGCTGGGCTTCATTCTAACTCAAGTGGAACTCTACGAACCCTTCCCGTCTCCTCAGAACCAGATGCAGGCTGGCCAGTCCACAAGAAAGAGGCACTAGGGTATCTCATTAAAACTGAAGAAATCGACACCTACAAGTGACCAGCCCCCAGAAGAAGATGGTGGGAAGGAGAAACTGTATCTGAGGTCCCCTGAGAGACAACAAGGTCTTTGGCAAGCAGAGGATCCATCTCCATCAAGAAACACTACCACCAAATCAACCACCCCTGAAACTCATCCACACACCTATTCATTCAACAAATGTTTACAAAGAACCACTGTGCTGCAACTAGGCACCCAGGAGGTGTACCAGATAAAGACAGTCCTGGCCTTAAGGTGGTTTACAATCTAAAGAGACAAACATTAAAACTGCATAAAAAATTAATACGTAATGACAAATTGTCATAAGGGTGACAGAGGAAAACAGAGTGCAATGTGAAGGGAGAATACAGTGGGGGGTTTGCTTTAGATCAGGGGGTCAGGGAAGGACTATGTGATGAAGTTGCATTGAAGTTGAGTGTCAGGAAAATAGTCCACTGTCTGCTTTAATGCATTCAGAGCGTGCAACTCCAGAGCCTGCTCTGATGACATATTACTCTTTCTCCCAAGTCAAAAAAAAGCTTGCAAACATCTAATATAAAACAATTAAAGCATGTTGCCTCATGTCCTGTCCTCAGTCAAAAGAGAACAGCTGGTCATCATCCTTTAAACTTACAATAATCATATACATATATATTTGAAGTTCATATCTTAGTATTCCCCTTAGCCTCCCAACACTAAATAAATCCTATTTCCAGAATCGCACAGCATTTTAGAGCTGAAAAAAGCCTTACAGATCATCTGCTCTAATCATGTCATTTTATAAATGAGGAACCTGAGGCTCAGAGAAGTTCAGTAACTTCACAGAAAGCCACACAGCAGAACAAGAATGCAGCCCAGTGATCTTTCTTAGATGCCATTAAGATCAGGATGAGGCCCCACTTGATGCATCCTTACTAGCAGTTTGCAGGCCCAGGCTCAGCCCCAATGGGCACTGATATGTTTGTGTACATGCAGAGTGCTCGGCACACACGAAACGTTCAAAATGCGGTGGCTGTTATTGCTGTGTGTTGCTTAATCCCCACTACCACCCAAGAGGCGAGCACAGTTATTGTCCCATTTCACAGATGAGGATGCTACAGCTTAGGGAGGTGCAGAACTTGTTTAATATCACACAGCTGTTTGGGGGCAAAGCCCAGCCTTACCCCAATCTGTCCCCACAACCCATTCACATACTCTCTAGTTTGTACAGACATTGCTTTGTCTCTCTTTGGTTCTTCCTTAAAAAGTCCTTTTCCAAACCTTTGTGCATTTCTGTTGCATCCCTATACTCTCTTCACAATTGTCATATTTCAAGATAAAAGACAGCTCTCTGCTGAGGCTTAGGGCAGGTCTGTGTCATGGTTCTGGGCTCTGCTGTATATGAACATCCCCATGTGGCGTTCACCCCTTCTGCAACAGTATTGACCCCACACGGAACTTTCAAACCACTGTGAACTTCCTCCTCCTACTACTACTCCTTCTTCCTCCCCTGGTAAATATTCCTCCATCCTGTTTTCCCATAATTCAGTCTACTCTCTTGGTCCTCTGGTCATTTACCAGATGGGCACAGTAGAAGCCCCAAGAGAGAAAAAAGAACCAAATTGGGAACAGTGAGATGGTCTCTCTACATGCAAAAAGCCAGAAGGGACTTCCAGTAGCATCTAGAGTACAATTCCTCAGGGAGGAAAGTATAGCACAGCACAATAAGGAGCCTTTCCCAGGGTCACGGAGAAACTCTGTGGCATTATCCTTGTCTAATGACCAAAATATCTGATGGGCTCATAGAAGTGCTGCTTCCAGATGGCCCTGGAGTCAAGCTCTAGCCCGGCCATGTATTAGTTAAAGGACTATGGGCTAGTTCCTTAGACCTTTGAGTCTCTGTTCCCTTACATGTTAAGTGAGAATGATCAGAATATTTCACAGTGTTGATGCGAAAATGAAACAAGGTGATATGCTGCATAAAGATGAAAGATCCACAAAAAAACAGCACGGAAGCATGGAAATGGAGTGGAAAATGAAGCGTATCAATTTTTGTTTGGGTTTTGGTTTTTCTCTACAAAACTTATAATTCAAAATTAGATCGTATATGTAAAGAGCCTGGGATGGTCCAAGTGCCCTATAAATGCTACAATTTATTAGTGTCGAAGTTAGAATAATCCTAATTTTAATGGTACAGCAGCACTGACCAATAGAAATATCATGCAAGCCACTTACACAATTTTAAGCTTTCCAGCAGCCACATTTTAAAAAGAGCAACAGGTGCAATTAATTTTAATATATTTTTTTCTAACCCACTCTGTCCAAAACATTATCATATCAACATGTAACGAATATAAAAAAATTAATCTGACATTTTGCATTCTTTGATTTGCATTGAGTCTTCAAAATCTGGTGTTTATTTTTATACTTACAGCACATCTCCGTTCAGATAGGCCATATTTCAAGTGTTCCATAGCCACATGTGGCTAGTGGCTACCATATTAGTGCAGGTTTCTACCCTTAAAAAGTAACATGTACTATGATTTTGTTTCCCCAAAAACGGAAGGATATGGTTCTTAATGTTGCCTTTTTCATACCCGGCTGAGCACACCTCCAGGACAGCGTTCTAGCTGACCACTGGCAAACCCTGGTTTCAAAGCCCTCTGGGCAAGGCTTGCAAGGTCAGAATGACAGGCTAACCAGTGCCCTCCCAACAAACCAGCTGAGGGTACATTCCCTGGCCCCTGACCACAGGAGGTCCCAGAGTGAAGGGAAAAACAAGGTAACAGGTCCAAGCTCTTGCACAACATACGTCCTAGGCATGCTCCCTATTGAGCCCTCAGGGATTTCATTGATTGTTTTATTCTAATACATTTCATCTAGACATAGGATTTAGTCATTCTTTATAAGTGTTCTCATTCTGACCCTCGCACAAATTTGGGGACCACATCACCTGACAAGAGCCATCAGACATTTAACATTAAAAGAAAATGGTCCAAAACCCACACATAATTCATCTTTAAATTAGCCTGATTTTATACACAAGGATATAAACCCACGGATCGTTACTCTCTCCAGAGTGGCAGCAGCCGCCACCCAAGCCAGCCGCCTCCCTGGGCCCCCGTAAGGAGCTCTACCTCCACTTCTAATTGGGAACAGAGATACTCCTTGGGTGACTTCCAGCACGATCCATCACACTAGAGACAGCTTCTGTGCAAACCGAAGCAAATCGGTTTCCAAATAAGAAAAAACCTCTTAGACAAACAAGGATTGAAGCATAGAAAGTCTTCTTAAAAAAAGAAGAAGAAGAAGAAGAAGAAGGAAAGAAAGAAATGCATGAATTAAAGCAAAAAAAAAAAAATTTGCGAGAGAAGAGCAGTCGCTTCTATCTAGGGCTGTGGACAGGGCAGCATCCTCCCTGATGGAAATCAAAGCCACAGGCTTTTG